CCTAAGGTACAGCTGGCAGGTCACAGTGCATGCCCCGCCCAGGAACATAAGCGCTAGGGTACAGCACTGAAAGTCACCTGCTCTGACCTTGACTTGCACCTTCCAGCACTGTCCCAAGTGGACCCTGTCTGGCCCTTGGTGGCCTTCCTCTGAGCTCGAGCTGGCACCGGGCACAGTTCCCATAGGCCTCGCACTACTATGTCCCAGTCCCCACGCCCAGGACCGGGCACCCTCGTGTTCTGTGGGCTTTGGGGGAGGAGAAACCGTGGAATTGCTTATCTAGCCCATCATTTTCCAGCTCATCCAGACGAAAACTAAGAGCAGCCGCGAACAAGCCATGACATGCCGAACAGGTTTCACCCTGACTCCAGGATGGAATCTGCTTAGTCTTTATAAAATGAAAAAAATCTTACTTTTTGGATCTGCCCCTGCCCAGAGTGAAGACACAGACAGCCTTGCCATCTTTCCCCTCACGGTCTATTCCAGAAGGGGCTGACGAGAATGCCACTTGCCCCCACAAGCTCAGCACACTTTGTCTTCTCATTGCGCCTCTCTCAAGCCACAGACGGGCGCCAGCTTCTCCTCAGATAGGACACTTGACGTACAGTTGGTGGCTGCCAGCCAAGGCCTGCCTGCCCTCTCCACTGACCCTCCCTCCCACCCCACCGTGTGCCAACAGCTTCCTGAGACCATCCAGTCGGGGACACAGACACTCCGGGGGGGCAGAGCCTCAGGGGAAGCAGAGAGACCCACAGCACACATCTCCATGGCAACCAAACACACTCTCCTCACCAAGAGCATGTTAAAGAAGAACTTTAACAAACCACAGAACCGCCCACACCTCGCACCCTGAAGCTTACTTCTGAAAACCAACCAAGGAAACGATTCAGCAGAGGGACAAAAAACGATTCAGCAGAGGGACGCATGCACAAAGACACTCGCCAGGGCTGTGTGTGATTAACCAACAGACCGGAAACGAGCTCACTGCCATAAAACCATGGGACAACTCGGCCGGTAACCATGGGACTGTTAAGATGATTATTATGAAGACTACAGAGCCATGGATGGACTTATGACAAAATATTAAATAAAAAAGGATACAACACTATTTATATGCTATGATTACAATTCTAAAAATTTTGGAGAAATTTTGGACACACTCATATAAATTTGGTCAAAACCCAGAAGGGAAAATACCCACGTTAGAATAACGTAACAGGTTCCTGCCTTTAAATTTTTCTTTGTGGTTGTCATGCTGTTCTCATGACTAAAAATGAATTAAACGTTGCTGCTTCTTTCAGAGGTGGGGAATCACACGTGTCTGTACAGGGGAACGACACTGTGCCCTGGAGAATCTGCACCCTCCACAGAGGCAAAGGTGTGGGTGAGGACACCTTGTGATCCTCCCAAGACCCAAGAGGACAGGCGGCTATAAAGCAGGGGTCCCCAACCCCCGGGCATGGACCACTACGGGTCCATGGCCTGTTAGGAACCAGGCCGCACAGGAGGAGGTGAGTGGCAGGCGAGCGAGCAAAGCTTCATCTTATTTGCGGCCGCTCCCCAGCGCCAGCATCACCGCCGCAGCTCCACCTCAGACCATCAGGCATTACAGTCTCGTAGGAACACCAGTCCCTGGTGCCAAAAAGGTTGGGGACCGCTGCCGTAAGGAGCTCCTATCAGAGCATCTCCCTCCAGCCTCTCCAGCTTCCCTGGGAGCCTGTCACGAGGTGAGACAGCCTTCATCTCTGATAAGGTGTGGGCTCTACCCCACCCCAGAATACAGCTGCATCTAGGACTGGCTGTTCCGAATCCCACAACCTGCTCAGTGGTCACCTGGCCCCTCTCGTGTCGTCCTTTTCGGTATGTGGGACAAGGACTCAGGAAGCTGGCACCTTGGGCATGTCCCTTCCTTCTGTTGCCCAGGAAGGTAATAAACTGTCTGAACTTAAAAGTGGCTCGTTACATCTGTATCAAAGGAGTCAGCTTGACAAGATCCCACATTCTGTTTTAATAGATTATCAAGAAAATCCAAGACGTGAGTGTGTGCATGTGTGTGTGTGCCCACCTACAGAAATAGATCTCTGTAGCTATATTCTTTTCATAAATCAAACGGAGAAACAGAAACACACACACACACACACACAAATATACACACGAACTAACCAGAAAAATGGGGACATGCAAGGCTCATCTGGATTACACACACACACACACACACACACAAATATACATACGAACCAACCAGAAAAATGGGACATGCAAGGCTCATCTAGATGCTGGTGCCAGCTCCATTGCCAGGTTTTTAACCTTGAACAATTCACTTCCCCTCTCTGGGCCTCATTCCCTCTTCCACCAACGAAGGAGGGGACAGGCTGGATGAGCCCGACCTCAGCTGTGCCATCTCGATGACAATGACATTCATAGAGACACCCTTGAGGACCTCTAGGCCATGGAGCAACCCGGTACCTCCTTCTGCTGAAAGCAGTTACGGGGCAGCAATAGGTCAACTGAACAAAGGGAACTACGTCCAGTGTCCCAGAGAAGCCGCTCAGACACATGCCTGGGTCTCTACCTGCGCCCTGGGAGGGGGCGGAGGCTGGGTGTTTACACACAACACGAGTGTGTGCAGGCCCCTTGGCAAACAGAAGCACCGCGGCACTATCTGATGCAGTCCCCGTCCTCATTCCTTGAGCAACTCTGCCCTAGGGCCTCGTTTGCTGGCACCAGAGTCCCAGAGAATGTGGGTCACGCCTGCATGAGGGCTCCAACGAGAAAGCAGGGCATGCCAAATTCAGGGGAGAAGGCTACTTCATGCTGCAGGGACGAGGAAGGCTTCCTGGAAGAGGCAGCCTTTCATCTGGGTCCTCAAGGCTGGCCAGAATTTAACTGGATGGAGTGAGTGGGGACAGGAGATTCTAGGGAGCAGCGTGATCAGAGACACGCACATGGAAAAGAGAAGTTCAGTTCGACCGTGCTGTTAGTGGAAAGTAATAATAGAGACTAGACCACAAGGGCCTTAAAGGGTAGAAGAAGCAAAAACCCAAAGCATCTGTCTTCCTTAAGCCTTTGTGCTTGTCATATCGTGAAGCAAGACAAACTCAACCCATTAGGGAACTGACAGCCGGTCACACAGCCACAGGAGGAACCAACTGACTCATCAATGTTTTTTTCCCCCCAACAACTTTCTTAGTTCAAATGATAATTGCTTGAGAAGAAAAACAACTTAATGTTGTGTGTGTGTGTGTGGTTTTTTTTCCTGGAAAACAGAGCAAATATTGAGAAGTAGTTGCAGAAGCCAAAGTCAAAGATAATTTTTAAAAGAAGGTATCACGTGTCAAAGATTTTATTTAGCTCATCAATTAATGAGGGAAGCAGTAAGATGTTACAGCTGGGAGACTGCAAAGAACCATACATGAGAGATGCTAAAATCTAACATGCAGACCCGCAGTGGTCAGTCTCCACAGGGGGACAGTCGACTGCACCGCCACCAGACACGATCTGCGTGGTCACGGATGAACATCACATGCGTTGCCATCAGGACGGCGTGCAGAGTGCCACATGGCACAGAGGAAAAGCAAAACCAGGAGCCCAGAGAACCCGGTAACCAGACAGCTGTGTTCCCACTGAGGACGCCCAGAAGACTTTCTGATCCGTTTCAAAGTCTTCCACGGTTTTTCCCTACGCAGGTGAAAATACTGACCAAACCGTAAATTCTCAGGTGTGTTTTATGGAAAGGCAGTGGGGACTGAAGCATGAGGTTTAGAAGCCAGGCGCATGCCTGGCCATCAAGGCTTGGCAGGTGAGGAGGCAGGTCCCTGCTCACCTGGCTAACTTTAGACCGGGAATCAGGAGGACCGCGAGGGCTGTGTCTCGGGCCAGCTGAGAGCCAAGTTCCTTTCTTTCCCTTCTCCAGAGGCTTCTACGATGAGGAGCCTGGCACTAATCCAGGGTGCTCAGCCCTGGCCAACCCCTAGAGTCACCTGAGGGGCTCTGAATAGTACACCTACCCCGCTCCAGAAATTCCACCGCTAGGGCTTCTGATTCCGCTGGTTGGGCTGGGGCATCACTGGTTTTTAAGATGTCCCCCAGTGATTCTCATGGCAGCCAGGATGGAGAACCACTGGATGAGATGATAAGGCCCCTTTGTCTCTGACACCCTGGATTTCGTGCAATGTCTCCTCTTATTTGACGGCTGCTAGCCTTGGTATGGAATTAGAGAGCATCGGTGGGACATTTCTCAAGAACGCTGCTCAAAACTGATCTTGGGTAGAGACCATAAAACAGGCACAATTCATGACCTGGTCAGACTAGGCAAACGTCCAGCAACGTGTTAGAACCTTCACTACGGGTGCCATGGATTCAGTGAGCAGTTTGCTGCACTGCGCACAGGCCTGGCCTCCTGACTGGCTGCTTTCATCATAAGGCATGTACCAGAGTACAAAGATGCCCACAGGTGTGTGTGCTGCTAGGCACCAACACTTATGCAGTGTGCACACACAGGCACTCATGCACACACCCACACTTCCCACTCATATGGCGGCCTCCAAATCAAAGATTGGAGTAAAGAGTTATAAAGGCGCCCTGCCTCACGCTGGGGTAAATGACTGATTCAATCACCTTGTGGTTGGCTAGTCCCCACAGCAGGAGAGATAAGTAACAACAGGCAGACACCGGTGAATTCCCCGAGCTTCCCCCACCCAGCTCTTCTGAGACCTCTGATAGGCATCACAAACCTGATGTTATTAGGGATTGCTTCGAATCCACTCAACTTATCACCAAAGTCCGTCCCAGGCAACCCCAGTACTCGGCAATCAGTCACCTTACCCTGGTGGGCCCTATGCTGGTAGTACAAAACCCTGCTCTAGACGACACTGTCTGCCTTTCCGTGGGACCGTGGAGGGCTGAGGGCCAAGTGTCTCCTGGATGGATGCTCTTCTCTCTCCTCCCTTTCTCGGTCCCCACGATCCTTACACCCCCCTTCCCCCAGCACACACACTTACTGCAGGCCGCACAGGTGAAGCAGGCGTCGTGGTAGAGGTTCCCCATGGCCTGGCAGGCCTGGCCGGCCCCAAACACCCCTTTGCTGCACTTCACACAGGCTCCTGCAAGGGCAAGAACACAGCAGTGAATCGGGAGGGAACAGTAGAAACTGAGTCACAAAAAGCCAATGAACGAAGCCAGAACACCCATCCCTCCCCATAGCCAGCCCTTCACCAAACCCCGTGGGTTACTCCTTTGAAATGTCTTTCTCTCACACTCTCTCCCTCCACCGGCTTTCGACGATCGGTCCTTCCAACTGCAGGAGACAGCCAGCAGGCTGGACTCCAGGCCCCCACTGCCTGCCCCACGCTGTCCCCCCTCTGGCGTGCCTCCACTTTGTTGACCCACTCCCTTGCCCAAAGCTCTCGAAGGCTCCCGTCGTTTATAAAACGGTGTCCAAAGCACCTCACCATGATTATAATGTGCCAGGCACACAGGTCGGGAAACGTCAACTAAATGGCTTCTTTTACTTCCCAGTAGGAACCACCAACCAGGAGTTACTCTCCTCACTTTATACAAAAGGATCAGGCCCCAAGCCCAGGTCTGTCAGACGGCAGAGCCGGTGCTCTTCCCTGGCCCCATCACCGGCCTCTCACCTCCATCTCGGCTCTTAGCCTGGCTCCTGGCTCCCTTGCCTGGCACCCTGCACCCACCTTCTGTCCCTTCAAGTCCTTCAGAGCTGTCCCCACCCCTCCGGCTCTCCAGCTCTGAGCCAACATGCTGAACCAAAGGTTAAAGAACCCGGTTCTAACCCGGAGCCTCCCATCTACTCGCTTCCCACGTGGCTTGAGTTAACCCGGTAAGTTCTCTGAGCATCAGTTCTTAATTTGGAAGAAACGTTAGTTCCACCCGCCTTGTACGTTCCCAAGAGCAGCGGTAAAGGCCGCTTTGCAAACCAAGAAGTTCTAGAGAGCTCATCTGCCTCGACAACAATGCTGAGGAAGACCTGGTCTTGAACTGTAACGCCACGAGCTACCGGCTTCCATCTGTACAATGGGGGACGGGAGCCCCTTTCGGAGTCACTGACAGGATACGTGAAGAGTGCCTGGCACAGGGCCCTTCATTTGGTAAACGCTCCATGAACAGACATATTAACAGTAAGGATGACGATAACGTTACCGCACTCAGCAAGAAGTTTTTGCAACATAACGTGGGCTTTCCGGAAAGGTCTGGGCCTCCCCGGATCTCACCCTGGGAATAAGCTGGAAGTTCTCTGTCTGGACCGACCCGGAACCTCTGCTACAACAGCCTAGGCTCTGGGCCAGCCCAAGGGAGGCCTTGGAGTCTTCCAAAGAACTCCCCCATTATGGTCAAATGAAAACATCACAATCACGTAAATAATGCACAAGATTAAAAAAAAAAGATTCTGGGAGGAAATATACCAAAACGTAAGCAGTAATTTCATTAGGGTGTAAAATTGTGGCTGGTTTTATTTCTTTGCATTTTCTGTATTTTAAGAGCAGGCATTACTTCATAGCTACAAAAAAAAAAAAAGCGCCTAGTCTCAAAAAAGTTTAATTTTTAAATATATGGTATAATGTTAAAATTTCTGAAAAATCAATTATATTTATACACACATACATAAAAAGAGCTCCCCGATATCCATCCCGCAGGATAACCGGCTCCCATCCTTGGTCAGTGGGGCTCAGGCACCCTCTTCTGATCCTAGTTACAACCTGTCAGGACCTTCTCAGGCTGCAAATCCTCAGCTTTTTGCTTTCGGGGTAGAAAGCCTGTGTTTCAGAGTTCCCGTCATCCCAAGGTGATGAAGCAGACCGCCTTCTCAGGAAGTCCACGCTAACACAGCCTTTATGAAATGCACCCAGACCAGCCACACCAACCAGAACAGGTCCAAAGAGAACTCAGCAAGCCAAGGGCCCTCAAGCTGCTTCACGAAACTGCCCTAGGAAGCAGGTGCGGCCGTCTGTAGGAACGGTGGCCGCCAAGAAAACTGGCCGTTGGGGAACTTGTTTAGGGAACGCTCTAGAGAACACAATTTGCAATTCTTCGGTTTCGACATTTTATTATGAAAATTTTCAAACATGCAGAAAGTCGAAAGAATCACACAGTGAACACCCACTCGCCCACACATCAATCCTATAATTGTTAACGTTTCACTACCCGGTCTTCAATCAATCCAACAATCCACCTTATTTTTGATGCCTTTCAAAGTCGGCTGCAGACGTCCGTCCACTTCTGGTGGCAAATCACTAATTGCAGTTCATTGTTTGTTCACCTTTTCTTTTTCCGAGATAAAATTCAAAAACGGTGAAACACACAAATTATAAACCTACCATCCGATGAGTTTTGGCAAATGATGTATGTGACACAAACTCAAGTCCAGATATAGAATATTTCCAACACCCCGGAAAGTTCCCCAATATCCTGCCGTTCCATCTTCTCTCTAATTACTATGACACTGCCTGTGTGCGTGTATGCGCATGCATAGGTGTGTGTACACACATGTGTGGGACGTGTGTGCACAGGATGAGGCTACTGGGCAGCTGGTATTTCCGTACTGAGCAAGCAGGAAAGTTAACAAAGAGCCTCCATTACTGTGAAATGGAAAACGTCAAGGAATTCAGAAACACCAGCATTTCCTTTTGTCTGATAATTTCATATACAGCTTAGGCCGCTCTTAAGTCAGGAAATATATCAGTTCTGGGCAAACTGTACCCCTTAGCTGGCACACTCGGAGCTGTGCCAGTTAGCAGGGAAGCTGACGTGCTGCAGACGGCGGGGTTCTATCGTGACAGTTCTTTAAGGCTCACTCCAGCAGGCTCATCACTACAGACACCGGTGGTGCTGACAGCTGCTCTGGGAGCCCAAGGACTGGTCACTGAAGCAGGCCAAGCCAGGTGGGGCCCCCAGGGTATGCAGCATGTGGAGTATGGGGACAAGAAAGGGATGGTGCTGGCGCGTTCGCCCCTGGACACAGCACCTACTGTGCTGACAGCTTACTGGTTACCCGGGCATTTGTCTGCCTCGCCCAGTGAACTGGGAGTGCCTGCAGGATAGGGGCCACATCTTAACGGTGGCCTCTGCAAGTGCTCAGCAAAGACCCGCTCAGCCGAATCACTTCCTGCGTAGCTCCACAAGCAGCCCTGTCCTTCTCCCCTCTTCCTCTTCACCTCCTTATACCTGGGGTACACCTGTCCATCCCCCTAGTAGGTGCCTTTTACAAAGATTCAGAGTCATTTACCTCTGAATACCCCCACCCACTGACAAAGTGCACTTAGTATGCCCTCAACAAACATGCAAAAACACAGAAACAGATTTCACAGACATCTGCTGAGCACTGAGTGTGGCACAGTTCAATGATGGGGAGAATGCACCTGGAGAACGTCAAATCGCGCAATGGCGAGGTATTAGTTACACCATTTGGTGATCCCGAGGTCTACGCCCAGACCACCCGCCCCAAGCCCCCTGGCTGAGCTGGCTCTAAACCTCTACACCAAGATCTGGTTTGTCAGACCGCAAGCGAAGCTCGCTCGAAGCAGACTAGATGGGACGTCAGGGCCACGTGAATGTAACTGCTCAGAGCGTGGGACGAAGCCACCCCAAAGGCCACATCGCTGCTGCGAGTCGCTGCGGCCTCTTCGCTCACCCCGCTGTAGAAATGTTAGGGGCGAAGAGCAGAGGGCACCCCAAAGGCCACATCGCTGCTGCGAGTCGCTGCGAGTCGCTGTAGAAATGTTAGGGGCGAAGAGCAGAGGGGCGCTGAGTGTCGACGGCGGGGTCGGCCCTTCTACCCGACACGGGTGAACGCAAGACGGGGACCAGCCCTCAAGACAGCTCGTCAAGGCGGAAGGCCAGAAGGCGCCGTGTGAGTCGGTGGGATGCTGCTGCCTCACGGTGAGGACGTGAACTCGCCTCGTTTGGGTTTGGGGAGTGAAATCAGACCAGCCCTTCCACTCCTGCTCATCGAGTGATGAGCAAGGACGGACAGTGTCTTCAAGTGGACACGGACAACCACTCAGGCCTCCCGGTCTCCCTGCTACTTCGTCTCCCAACGTCAGGCCTTCCTCCGCCCCCTGCAGCCGCTGCAGTGACACTCTCCTGGCTTCCCCTTCATCTGGGGGCTGTGACCTGCTGACTGCAGCCTCCCCGCGCCCCCCACGCACTTATTCCTTTGGGCTGCTGACAGCCTTTCTCACCGAGCTGCGCATCCAGCACAGACACAAAGCAAGAAGGAAGCCACGAGTGCTCTAGACCGTCAGCCACGGAGTGAGGGAGATCCCGTGAGACGCCGCGCAGGTAGGAAAACACTTCGTCCTTGTAGCCTGCGGCAAACGGATACGGAGGTACCACGTGGGCAGGAAATAGATTTATTCTTCCGTTGGCAGGAAAAAAAAATCGATCAAAGTAAATTTCATGTTGTAGCAAATAACGTCCCTAGCAGACCCTGGGCTGGGAGTTTCCTTCCAGCGAAGGAGCGGCTGCCATCCCGTTTCCAAAACCCCAGTTCTAGAAGGAAAGGGGCTGTAACGGGCTGAAGGTCACGCGGCTGGTGGGTTCCAGAGACGGAATCTGAGCCCGGCTCTAACTCAGAGGTCCTGTTACCCCCATCTGGCAGGCAGCTGTGGCTATTCCAGCTACACACATGGAGCCCCCCAGAAAAAAAGGGGGGCTCCTTCCTCACTCCCCAACACACTACCCACTCAGATCCAAGACCAGCCCTGCCCAGATCTCCTACTGACCGCCCAGCCCCTCCCATTCTGGCCTGGGACTTCGCCATGAGTCGCCCCCCACCCTCCCGACACAGAGCTCCTAAGTCCTCTGGAATTTCCTGGGTGACAGGAGCGTCTTATGTTCTAATGAGGTGACCCTGGGTGGCTCCTGGACAGGGGCTGGTCACTAGAAAGACCAAGCCTTGATTGCAGCTTGGAACTTTTAGCCCTACCCCATCCTCCAGAGAGAGACGAGGGACTGGAAAATGAGTTAATATAACTGATCGTGCCTACGTGATGAAGCTTCCATAAAAATCCTCCAAGTACGGGGTTTGGAGAGAGCTTCCAGGTTGGTGAACACATCCAGGGCCAGGAGCATGGTGTGTCTCGAC